CCCCGGGGAGCCGTCCGTGACAAAAGGATTTGGAAAAATCTATTTTAAAAAATCAGGTCCCCACCTCTCACCCCATCTGGAAACAGGTCCGTAGCCGGGGGTGAGAACCACCCATTTGTGAATCATAGATGCTCTCTGCTGGACTATGATGAATTGCTGACTGAATGTTTTGGATCTTGCTTTTTAATCTCATCAGCTCAAAGACAGCATTTTTTAAAGTGCTGGTAAAATGCTTGACTGCAATGGGAGAAATATATTTGACGAGGTACTTCTGCACCAGTCTCACAGCTGGAGCAGAGGAGGGGGGGGGAAGAACACATGAGGCTGACCGTGACGTTCCTGTTCTCCCTCCACAAGTGTCCTTCTCCCGTTATTGTCACAAGAGACAATGTATTACAAAAACCAATGTATTATAATACGCCCTGAGTAGTCATGTGTCTAGAAGGGAGAGGGGTAAACATCTAATAAATAAATAAATAAAATAGGCAGCTGGTTTCCCCCCCCCCCCCTTAGGGTGGGTGAGTGGGTGGGGGGCCCATCCTACCCCTCATTGTGACATCACTGAAGCCTGGCCAAAATCTTGGAGGAAAATCTCCCTGCTCATCCTTGCCTGCCACAGTTGGGCAAGTGACCATGGCGGATGCCACGAGGTTTGCCTACCTGATTGTGATCCTCGGATCACTGTTTTTAAACGAAGACCCTTGCGAGGCACCAGAACTCCCGAGCAGAGATCTGGGGGACCTCTTCGCCAGCCTGGAGGAGCAGCAGCCCTGGGGGGACTCTGACGGGGATGGGACAGCCCTGTCAGTCCTGGGAGCCAGCGTGCCATGGAGGTTCTTTAACACCTTCCTCCCCCCGGCATCTGGAGCTTCCTGCCTATCCCGCCGTCTCCTGGTCGCTTGTTTATCTGGACTGGTTCTGTGGTTGGGAAACTGGCTCGCCTCACTGAGAGCGACGGATCGACGGCCTCGATCTGAGGTGGAGTCGAACCCGGAGCCGGACCAGCATGGCGAGGGGCAGCTTCCCCTGGCTCGTCCGTCATCTTCCTGCTACGCTCCCGCTGTGCCAGGTACCAAGTCATTTCAACGCCACGTTAAGTGGTTTTAAATGTTTCGTAGAAATGGGGCGAGGGCTTTGGGCTTCCTCTCTTTTCCTGACGCTTCCTCGAAAGGTTCTGCTCTCCTTGGAGGTGGAGGGAACCGAAGGGTGGTGTTGCCTCCTTGTGACACCCCCCCCATTTCCACCCAGGCGTGGCTGCTGGGGAGGGGTCCTTTCAGGGGCACAGCATACCTGCCACATTATCTTTGGCCAGGCCCTGTGCCTCCCTGATCTGGCATCAGGCAAATGGAAGGTGGCCAGGGTGGCTCACGACAGCCCAAGGTTCCGATCTGCCCAGTGGAACATTCCGGCTGAGATCAAAGGCCCTGCAATGCAATGAACGGTTGCAGCCCCAGCCATCATGAGTAGCAGCATCATGACTTGGTGTTCTTTCTCTCTGTTCTGCAGCATCCACCTCTACTTCTGGGGAGTGCCTGATCTCCGGATTCAACAGGTAAGGGAAACCTTCCCACTCCTTCGGGGGGGGGAGTTCTAGAGTTTCATCAAATCTAATCCGTCCAACCTAAAAAGAAGTTCATCAATTGAAATTAGAACTTTAAAAGTTTAGTACATCTGAGAATCATGCAATAACTATACCAGTGGGATTTCAAAATTAGGGCATAAAATATAAGAATTCAGAACAGAATGACTTAATATGATTAATTATTTGAGAAACCTTGGAAATAAATTGAATTAATTACCTCAAGATGATGCATAGCAAGTCCGTTTTACTTTTGGAAATTATTCATTGTTTGCTGTGAGTTTCACTCATCACAGTCTGAAGAAAGGAAAGATATGTTGATGGTCTGCTAGATAATTTGGGGAACAAGAGGCATTTTTCTTACCAGATAACAAAAGTGAGTGACTTACCCCAAGATGATGCAGAAACATGAACAGATCATAGTTGGAAGACATTGCAGGTCCCTTTCACTTTTGGAAAGCATTCAATGTTTGTTGTGAGTTTCGCTCATCACAATCCGGAAGACAGAAAAGATGTGTTGATGGTCTGCTAGATAATTTGGG